TATTGTATATATATATATATATATATATATATATATTAAAAACATTCATAAAAAATATCTGTTTTTCCTAATGCACAATCAGAAGACTACATTGTTTTGTGTGCGTTTCCGTTGCTGACTGTTTCGGAGAGATCAGTCTCGATCTTTGTGGTCGACTGTTTGTGCGTCTTCCGCGACAGCCCCAGATGGGGTGGAAGTAATATCGCAATTAAACCCAATAAATGCGGAAGCAGGTACAAGTACCTAGCAATAAAAAAAATCATGTTAATTAAAATTAATTCTGATAATTAAATTGTATTCTTCGACTAATTTTGATTCAAATATTCAATATCAAAGATTATAATTTTTCAATTAATGACTTCGGTGATGACTTACAGGTACATTTTGATGCTTGGTACAAATTCTAATAGTACAAAGCTGAACGTCATATAGGCCATTATAATTCTTGTCGTAATAAACGTTAAAACATCGTAAAGAGTCTTCTTTCGTTGAGACTCAAGGAACAGCGGTCGAATATAGCGACGGATCTATTACAAGATATGAATGTGATTAAATTTGATTCATTCACAATTTGTAAAACAAAGTATTGTGTATGTTCAATATACTTACCGAACGTGCCGCTACTGTGAAAAACGCTCCGCTTGCGAACGTGAGATAATAACCGGGATAAAATCCGTGCCATAGAGCAGACAAGGCATACGTATAGATTATTTTGTTATGACCAGCTCGTTCATACATGATCGATCGCAACCATAAATTTGTGCCCTTGTTCCAGCTGTCAATACTGTCCCTAAGATTAAGTGATGTCTGAAAATTGATCAAACAATAAGAATAATTTTAGATAAACATTGATTTCGTTGCGTATATTGACGATAAGAAAGAGTTCAAACATTTCGTTTCCCTGCTCATTCATAAAACATTTGACAAATTTTAATAATTTTTACTTATCATTATATATCATAAACAGCAGATAAACCTCGAATTTTAAAACGTCGACGTTGGATGCCAAATCCCAACGCGCTTTGCCTTGTTCATCATAGCCGTTGAATCCGAGACCGGAATTGTTGCATATGGCATCAGCGAATAACCAAGCGTGATAGTATTTAAAGCGCGCGAGCATAGTCGTTAGCATTAAGTACCACACTTTGTAAAGCATACTTGTGTTCTCCAAGAATTCGTCCTCTGAAAATATATGATTAAGTATAGAAATATGTTATATGCTACAAGCTCGAAGATGAAGAATTAAACCTTTTACACGCTGTATCGGGAAGATCGGGATAAATGTGATGAATAAAATGGCGCATACTAAACTCGCCGTAACTTTTTTCACGACGACCAGAGTTGGTGACGGCTCCAAAACGATCTCCTTTTCTTGATTATTTTTGTCATAGAAGCCCTAAAACAATCATCATCAGTATAAGTATTATTTCTTTTATTTGAATATATTGTGTATATTAAGTTGCAAAGCTAGCATAAGTTTATATTATGGTTTATAATATTAGGAAACAATAGCTTAATTAATTTTTACTTTAAAATAAGAATACATATAAATTCTGAAAAATTATAACAGGCACTACAAAGTTTTATATCAATATTAATGTTCTTACAGCTAAAGATTTAGCGCCAGGTAAATGATGGCCATGTATAAAGTCAATATAATCGCGGTAAAATATCACTGGACCAGCCATTAAAGCTTGAAAGTGAAAGATGTAACTGAAATATTCCAAAGTAGTTGGCATCTTCCTATAAAATAAATATTAAAAAAATATGTTTGCATAATAGCATACTCACTAATATCACTCAATAATAAATCACTAATAATAAACTTTAAGTTTAAGTTTATTAACTTTGTTAACTTTAAATTTATTAACTTAAACGGAAAAATAGTCTTAAGGTTTATTATTAGTTAATAATAAACTTAAAGTTATTATTAATTAATAATAAACTTTAAGACTATTCTTCCATTTGCATTTCATCAACAGCTTATTTCTATTATAATAAGCCTTTTAAAATTTCTTAAAACTGAAAGTTCCATACATTATTCTTCTTTTTTAAAAAATCTATTTATATTATAATCATTACGAGTGTAAAAGCAAACATATATAAATACATTTATATATAAAACTTATTTTGCTAATAAATACATTTTATAAGTAATATGATATTAACATTGTATAAAAGTTATCAGATTTCTTCATATAAATTATGATCCTGATATATTTCTTGTGCTTGATATGAATAACAAGCATATAAGGCTTGTTAAAAGAGCACGTGCACTTACTGTACAGCCTGATGACGTTGCATCGGTGTCAACTCCTCTTCGCGCCGCGTTAGTCCATCATGAATGCTGAACGCTAGACTAGTTACTTTCTGCGTTATAACCATGAGAGGGCCTGAAATGAATATCCATACATGTTACAAAAGCGATGCACGGTATAATAATGAGACTTATCGCGATAATGCCAAAACATTTGCAAACGAGACGTATTGGCGTGCGCACAATAGCATGACACAATAGTCATTCAATATCATACACATACTGTTCAATAATCAATATATCATGCTGAATGTGACTCAATTTATAAAATGTCGTTCTCAAAGAGTGAAGGATGTACACTTATAAAGGCAGCAACAAGTAGAAAGAACATTTCATAAAACATGAGATTACGTAATGATAAAATCACGTATAAATTACATTTGTTTACTTAGGAATAAATTTAAACGCGCATTGCATTTCAGCGTGAAACTTATATAATCACAGACAGTAAAAAGTAACAACATCGCGAAGATATTTATTACCATTTCAATAACGCGGTCAGGTTTAGGAGACCGTAAAATGTGTTCTCGCAGTCGCGTAACATTAAAAAAAAATATGAACAAAAGCATAGATATATACAATTATAAAAAAAATCATACAAAAAGATCTTTTTTCTAAAACTTATTAGCTCTTTAATATTAACTCACATATAGATTTCATTAAAATAGCGATAGGGAATTCTTATGCGAGACATAAATCAAAACTATAAGATAAGATAAAAAGAGTCAGCTAGTCTTCTTCGAATAAGCCGGGTGAAATTGTGAGTTGAACGTACCGGTGATGTCGAGCGTGTACGAGCCATAATCGTAGATCTGTCGGTGAAAGTGAATGCACGATAAATAGATTAAGGCAATTGCGAGGACGACCCTGAAACACATTCAGATGGAGGAGTCAAGTTCGCGCGGCCATCGTCTTTGCTCGCGTGTTTTACGCGAGATTAAACGTGATTAATTTGACAATAAGCACGCGATTTATTATGTCAGAAATGCAAACGATCGCGTTGAAAGTGCACTTCACGCTCCAAATAGGTGACTCATTATTATCGATGACATGAACAATCTGTCTTCGTTAATCTCGGTGGAAGGAGGCATACAAAGGCATAATAACTGCGTATTATTAAATACGTAAAATTAAATACGTATACGAAAATTCATCGTTTAACAAAATAAACGATGAAGCTATTTAATTCTTGATAATAACAAAAAACGTGCATTATCATTATGCTAAGTTGTTAGTCGATAACTAGGAGATAAATAGAAATCCTTGATTTAAAATGCATACCGAGATACATATTCAACTCACCTCTGCATATTGCGTGGATTTTGTGTGCGCATCGCTATGTAACATAGCGCAGGAAGACTAGCGAGATGAATTGCCTGCCTGAAAGAAAAGATAAAAAAGATATTGATAAATTGAATTCTTTTAAAAACCGACATGCGTCGATATTCGATATTCATGGCAAAACAGTTGCAACTGGAAGAATTAATTCTGGATTATAAGAGTAATTTAAAACGGAATTATGTCAAATGTGCTTACCGATTCTTTGCGATAACTCCTCGTCGCAAAATCGAATTAATACAAAAGATGAAAATATCATAAAATTTCACAAAATGCTACTTAGCTTAGAATGTAATAATCTGATAATAATGTATTAATAATGTATTAATAATGTATTAATCTGAATCTAAATCTATTGTTTGTCTAACGCTAAACTAAGTATTATTTAGGCAAGCGAGAGAAATGAAAAAAAATTATTAGCATAAATTAAAATCTTTTCAAATGGTTTCTGCTCTGAGTATTTCGAGTTACAACTATTTTGCAACAAATGAAAATTCCCATTACTTCGACATGAATGGATAAAACACGTAAACTTACCTGCCAAAGCAAAAATATCCAAGAGCAAGGCCAATAGTGAGGCCATAAACATGTCTGGCAGCTGGAGTAGTAGCGATGGGGCTCAGTGATGATCTTAATAAAGCGGCTAATATGAGCGCTGTGAATTGCGTGAGGACAAAATTTACCTGCACAAAAAGAGAAAACAAATTCGTTAAAATACTGCATTATTATCCCTCTTAATTATTATTTGTTACATAATTTATAACAGATATATTCACATTATTCATAATAGATGATTCACATATAAAATTTAATATGTAACTTGTATTATAATTATATAAAAAATTAATAGTATAATTGTGATTACACAACAA